CAAGGTAGTCAAATCAAGAGCTTTTACATGGTTCTTACAGTTGATTTTTCTCAAGTAATGGTATTAATCGAGTTGCACGATATTCTAATAAATCAATTCCAACATTTCAAATAGGTGACCAAACTGGTACTGCAAACACTAACAGTGGTCGCACAAAAGAAACATTTTCTAATCTGACCCAATATTTAGTTGGCTTTGCCTACACATTTTATTGCATGATTTTTCCATTTCAGATTGCTTGAGAATATTACTCCAAAATTTCTTTCAGATTCTGTTATGTTTAACATTTTTTCATTGATATAAAGGGGTGATTTTTTGTTAATCCGGCCAAAGTGCATGATCATACATTTCAAAATATCAAATTTCATAAGCCAGTCCACTTAAAGGCTAAATCAAGATCTGATTATAAAGAAAGAGTTGATGCATATGAAAGCATTTCATTCAAAACTTTAATGCCATCTGCAAACAGCTTAGTTATGTTTTTTAGAGTTTCAAGCAAATTCTTTATAAATAGCACAAACAAGAGTGGTTTAATTACTGATCCCTGTAGTATACCTCTGGTAATTTCTGCCCAAGAGGATACATTTTTTCCTATCACAACTCTTTGATTTCTTTCTTTTAAAAATGCTTCAATCAATTGTATTGTCAAACCAGATATTCTATAAGCTGTTAGTTCAAGCGACAATTTTCTATGTGGCACTGTATACATTCAAACGCCCTGGCAAAAAAACAAAATCAACAGGTTTACCATTCTCTAAGGCAGTTGAAATAAAATCAAGTATTTCAAGTAGATTCATGATTTATTTTTTACAAAACCGTGCTGTTGCTTGACTATTAGTTTGAACTTGTATAGGAAAGTTTCAAGTTTACATCTGATTATGCTTTCCATTGTTTTACATGCAATTTAGGTGAGTGATGCCGGTCGGTAGTTTCCTGATAAGGTTTTTTTGCCTTTTTTGTACAGAGGAGTGGTATTTGCTGATCTAGGTGGAATGGCGAAGACTGATGCATAATTCTTTTAAATAGCTGAATGTAAATTATCAACACCACTTGATTTGTTTTCTTCCAAGTTTTTAAATCTCAGATGGACATTTTCATATGCAAAGTCTTCATTTGTCATAATGAATGTTACAGTTGCTCTTAAATCAAAAGAAGGCAGTAGAACATTTTTTCTTTCACAAATTCAGCGTGAAAATATTTGTTTTAGATATCAGTAACATCTTTTGAATTTTGAGTGGATTCATTATTTGCTCCCTTTAAGGCTTTTACAGAATCTTTGACTGCCTGTTGATTCTTTATGTAGCTGTAGAGAAGCTTTGGATTTTTTGATGGCTCTTTTTATTACATTAAACTCAAAGTTTTGTCGCACTTTTTTAATCTTGTCTGCTGCATTTTTGCAAATCATTTTGTATTTAGATTTCAACACCGGGTCTTTCCATTTACATGAGTAGTTTTTATATCTTAAATTTTGTTTGCTTCTAAAAAGAAACTTTAACCTAGCATTAATCCTTTTTAAAGATTTTAATGTCTTTTTAATTGGAAATAAATGATTACATGCCACTTAAGTGTAAAAAATCAGTTTTTCAAACATTTCTTGTACATTTTTATTACTGAAGCAAAATATCCAGTCAATATTTGAAATTAGATCAGATATGAGTTCAAAATTGGAATTAGCAAACATAAATTTTTGCTTGCTTTTATTGTCACGGATTGCTTTATCAGACAAGATAAAACTGAAACATTGTTAGATGGCCTCTGTTTATGTTTCCTAAAATAAACTTTGAATCTATTTCCTTAACACTTGTTGACTGAGTTGTAAAACTAAGTTAATCATAAGTTCATCTGACAGCTGGAAAGTTAATATGCTGATAAAGAAAATTATCATTTAAAATATCTGTAAATTTTAACACAGCCATTTGACCAGCTAATTGATGGGAAAATGGATATATATATATATATATATATATATATATATATATATATATATATATATATATATATATTATATATATATATATATATATATATATATATATATATATATATATATATATATGAGTACTGGACAAAATTATAGCACAAATGTAAAATAAAAATTGAATGATAAAAATTTGGGTTGAATCAAAAGTTATAATTATTTTTTTTTATCTGAGGCATAACATTTTACTTTTTACAAAAATGAATGAAAATTGAAAATACATTTAAAGTAAACATGTTTTAAAGTTCACTTAAGAATAATAGAGAAAAATAAACTGGTCAAAATTATAGCTCATAGTACTAATTTTAGATAAAAAAAAACATTAATTTGATTTAATATCAAGAAATGTTGGATCCTTTAGCTCTAAAAATTCGAGAAATACGATCTGGAACAGAATTTATTAATTTAATGCAAAGATCAATAGAAGTCTTATCCCAAATGTCTTGAATTTCATCCTTCAAGTCATTTGTGTTGCTAATTTTTGAGTTTTTGGTCAATAATTAATCAAAGATATCAGCATCTGGTGAAGTGGGTGGCCATTCTAAGAGCCAAATAATCTTTGTTGCAAACCATTCCAGAGTTTTTTTTGCATTGTGACATGGTCACAATGCAAAAAAATGGTTGGGCATAAAATAACAATGTCTTGCTTAAAATAACAATCTTCAGCTTCAGAATCAAAATGAGTTTCCATATAGTTAGGTAATTCAGCAATAACTTCTAAATAACAAGAAACATTCAAACGACCTTTGTAAAACTTCAATAAACCTATTCCATTTGTTGAAAAACATCCCCATACAGAAATAATTTCACCACCACCTTGTGCTCTTGTTGTAAAATTAAATAGTAATTTTTTTTTTCATTAGGAAGACGGCGTACAAACTTACAATTCTTTCTATTAATGACTTCAAAATGTGATTCGTCACTAAATATTACATGATGCCATTGATTTCGTGTCCAATCAACATTTTTTACACCAAGTGAGTCTTACCTTTTTCTGAGCCTTATTTCGATAACAGCATCGTTTCTGCGTGTAACTTTTCACCCCTTTTTCTAACAATGACGAACTGTTCTTGCACTAATGGTTTTTTCTTTTGCAGCATTCAACTCCGTAGCAATTTTTCTATTTAAGTTTTTTTTAGGAAGTGTCACTATATAGCAGTCTTCTGTAGAATTAGTGCATCTACGATGTCCTGGTTGATTTTTGATTGGTAAATTCAATTTAATTTTATCAGCAATATTGTAGACAAATTTCTGGAAGTTTTAGTACGGTTAGCAATATCAGTAATATTAAATTGGTGTTGAAGTAAGTTTTTTTCAAGTTGTTGCCGCTCAGAGCTCACTGCTTTGCGACGCATTGCATTAATTATGTGTTAATTTTAAAATTACTGAAAAGACTTTATTAATTATAAGATTTGCTATTTTAAAGAATCAACTATGATGCTAGAAAATAAATAAAATAACACAAAACAATGCGTCAATGCATTGCATATATATATATATATACATATATAAATATATGTATATATATATATATATATATATATATATATATATATATATATATATATATATATATATATATATATATATAATAATTTAAAATTAAAAAAGGATTTAAAAGTTTTTTATATAAAAAATATTTTCAGAGGTCTTGACCCTTGAACATTTAATGGTCCTTAATATTAGATTAAAAAAGGTTGTTGGGTGGAATTATATAAAAATTTCAAAAAGTTCATTTTATGAAAAGAAATTATTTTAGATTTTACTGCATATATATTTATATGTGTGTGTATATATATATATATATATATATATATATATATATATATATATATATATATATATATATATATATATATATATATATATATATATATATATATATATATATATATATATATATATATATATATATATATATATATATATATATATGTATATATATATATATATATATATATATATATATATATATATATATATACATATATATATATATATGCAGTGAAATCTATAAAATTGAACATTTAATGGTCCCTAATATTAATAAAAAAAGTGCTTTGTTTGGTGGAATTATGTAAATATTTCAAAAATATTAATAATTTTATGAAAAAAAGCTGTTATTCTAGATTTTACTGCAAATGTATATATATATATATATATATATATATATATATATATATATATATATATATATATATATATATATATATATATATACATATATATATATATATATATATATATATATATATATATATATATATATATATATATATATATATATATATATATTTTTTTTTTTATTAATGTATATAGATGTATATATATATAATGTATATCTATTATATGTGTATATATACAGTAAAATCTATAAAACGATTGTTATATATGCATATATTCAGATGCACACACCCACACACACCCACCCACCCACACACACCCACACACACACACACACACACACACACACACACACACACAAACACACACAAACACACATATCACCTAGGTTTTAAGCATTTTTAAAATTTTTATAGTGAGTTTAAAAAAGTTTTTTAAAATCTCTAGTTTATTATTTTTTTCATTTTTTAATTAATTTTAACAGCTATTCTTTTATATTACTTTTAATTATTTTTTTCCTATTCTTTACACAAAAGAATGAAAATTTTTTCTTTTATTAAATTATCCACTTATTTATATAAAAGATTTTTTTCCATTCACATAAATTAGTTTTATTTTGATTTAAAAATCCTTTTTTTTTTATAAAAAAATTTTTATTTTAAGTTATTTTTTTGTTAAGGTTTTTACTAACTTCATTTTTTTTATCTAAATGAATGTCAATGAATCAATGAAACAGTATGTTGTACAATAAATTAGTTGAAACAGGAGGTTGTACAATAAATTAGTTGAAACAGGAGGTTATATAATAAATGTAAATAGTAAAAATTAAACACTACTTTATATAACTTTTCTCTAGCAAAGTAGAGAAATTATATTTTCTTTAAAGAGAAGGCTTTGCATACTAAAGAATAAAATGTGTACTAAAAAGTCAAGTATTTTTAAAGAGTCAAGTGTTTTTGTATGTAAACATTGAATGTAAATATAAGTAATGTTTGTATTGATTTAATTTTATTTAAAAAAAAACAACTAATTTATAGATAGGAGATGGAGAAAAGATTATTACAACTGTATTGCTTAATGGTGAACGAATTCATATAAGAGTTCATGTAAGTTTGAGTTATTTAAAAAATTTCATTTGCTCTAAAGCATTTTATTAACTCCTTTAAAATTTATTTTATCATAAGACTGAACTCATTTATGTATGTAAAATTTATTTCAAAACTTGTTTATTTTCAAACCTGTTAATGTTTTGTAAAATAAGAATAAATGTAAAACTTTTCTTTACCACAATTTTAAAGCTGTTTATTATTCTGTAATAAATGTTTAAATTATTTTGACAATCAACAAATTAAGTTTTTAGGTTTATTTTTTACAGTTTGCAAAGCAAGGATTTAGGTTTCCTAAAAAGATACTTCTGAATTGTAGGTTGGTCTTTTTTGAAAAAAAAGGATGTTTTAAGTTCGTGAAAACTGCATTTAGTTGAAGTAACTGTTTACTGCAATCAAAATCTATTATTCGAAAAAAACTTTTTGGCTAAAATTTAATGAATAAAATTATTTGCAAATAATAATTTTTGTATGATCAGTTATAAAAATAAATTATCAATATAATTTATGCAATGATGTTTAGAGATTAAAGTTAAAACTTAAAATCCACATATCCAAAAAGCCACATATCCACGTATCAACAGAAAGATAGCTACTTAAAAATGTTGTTACAACAAATTTTTGTTATGTATAAATTGATTAAAATAGAAAATACAAAAATTTTTTTTAAAGATAAGATAAATAAAAAGCAATATAAATAGCACTGCCTTCTGAATTCAATAAAGAAGTTACTGGACTCATGATGTCCAGAAGAACCAAAAAGATTCAAAAATGTAAAATAAACTGAGTATTTATCTATATTTTCATCATATCTAGCTCTTTGAATAATGAGGTTGGGAGTCAGTTGAATTAAATAATTTTATTACTGTAAGGTACTGGTAACAAATGGATGATCTCTTTATTGCATACCTTCCAAGAATTATATTCCTTAATCTATTAAAGCTACTCATTAATATCAAGAAAAATAATATATATATATATATAAATATATGCATATATATGTATATATATATATATATATATATATATATATATATATATATATATATATATATATATATATATATATATATGTATATATTTGTATATATATGTATATATATGTATATATATATGTATATATATATGTATATATATATGTATATATATATATATATATATATATATATATATATATATATATATATATATATATATATATATATATATATATATATATATATATATATATATATATATATGTAAATTATGTTAGTGTATTCTACAAACAGAGTGCTCAATGTTTTTAAAGAACAGAGCAATAATAAATTAGTTAAAACACTTATCTAGTTTTCTTCAACAAGTTGTTTTACCATCAGTAGGCTCATTTTCCTGATGAGCCTACTAATGGCAAAACAACTTGTTTAACTTTTTATTACAAATCTAATCATTTAGTCACTACAAAACATATCTTTGTCATACTTACTTCTTTTTTCAATAATTTTTAATTAATAATTTATAAACATCTTTAAGTTTAAAACAATAAAATAATGAGGTTGTGAAAAGATAACAATAAAAAAAGTACATTTAATATATATATATATATATATATATATATATATATATATATATATATATATATATATATACAAATATCTTTGTGTATTTAGCCTTACATAAGGCATTATTGATGATGTCATGGTGAAATAGGGGACTGCAGAGGCTTCAGAACATTGACCATCAGTTTGGGTTTGAGCAGTCTTTTTTTTTCAGAACAAATTGAAAAATAACTCAGCATTTTTAAACTTTATGTGTGTAAAATAAATTGTACATATATCAAGATTGTACCTGCCCAAGCCCTTAGTTGATGTGTGTATTGGAAACCCTGCAGATAGCAGATTATGGCATTACCAATGATGTTTAATTTTATAAAACTTTTCTTAAAAAACTGATTCATTTTAACTTCAGCTTTTTCAGAGTCTGAGTATAATATAGTGAATTAAAACACATATAACATTTATAACATTTACTAAATCTAGTTTTGCACTTTATCTAGTTTTCAAAAGTGGTTTGACCATATAAAAAAAAATTTATTATAAATTTGCTAAACTATACCAAATTAATTTATAGCTTCTAGACAAATATAATTTCCTGATGATCTAACCAAGTTTAAAGGTGTGTCCAGCACAAGGAAAATATTTTGCAAATCTGTTTTTTTCTAAAATTTTTGCTAGTATTCGATTATATTTTCTGGACATATTAGATTAGTTGTTGTATAAATTTCATTCGTAAAAAATTTACAGTAACTTTGGC